CATCAACTAGAAAGGTGACCTTTGCAAAGCCGTTACGGTTTCACAACTTCTTCCAAAAAATCCCTTCACCCTTTGGTGAGTACTCTTTCTCGCAAAGGCGATTATGGTCTGCCCTCCGCGTCTATCATATAAATGATACACGCAAAAGTCGGGTCGTCTTCGAAGTACCTTATGTATCATTTCAATGATACGTGTAACTACCTAGGTTCTCCAAATTCGTACTGATTTCCAATATAGTAACCCCACTTTCATATCTACGCATGTGTGGGACGGGTACACTGTACCAGCAATCATTTGATAGCCAATAGAAGAGTTACCACTTTGAAGAAGAATTGGCTTTTACAAAGCTGTGCCTTTAAGGTTCACTGTCTCCATGTAGTATTTTTGCATCGATTTAGGTAAGTCACATGGTCTTCAAGGTGAAAAGGTAAACTTCAGGTATTCTGGCACCTATTTAGGCTTTTTCAAAAGTTGGACTGACATGACTTCCGGGTGTTTCATTGTAATGATACAATTTGGAAAACCTAGGTAGTTACACGTATCATTGAAATGATACATAAGGTACTTCGAAGACGACTCGACGTTTGCGTGTATCATTTATATGATAGACACGGAGGGCAGACCATAATCGCCTTTGCGAGAAAGAGTACTCGCCAAAGGGTGAAGGGATTTTTTTATCGTCTCACACATGCGTAGATATGATAGTGGGGTTACTATATTGGAAGTCAGTCCGACTTTGGAAAACCTAGGTAGTTACACGTATCATTGAAATGATACAAAAAGCACTCCGAGGACGACCCGACGTTTACGTGTATCATTTAAATGTATATGATAGACACGGAGGGCAGACCCTAATATTCTCGCCAAAGCGTAATTGGATTTTTGGGAAGATGTTGCGAAACCTTATTGGCGCAGCTTTTTAAGAGCCAAGTGGTAACTCTTCTATTAGCTATTTAAATGATTGCTGGTACAGTGTACCCGTCTCACACATGCGTAGATATGATAGTGGGGTTACTATATTGGAAGTCAGTACGAATTTGGAAAACCTAGGTAGTTACACGTATCATTGAAATGATACAAAAAGCACTCCGAGGACGACCCGACGTTTACATGTATCATTTATATGATAGACACGGACGGCAGACCCTAATATACTCGCCAAAGCGTAATTGGATTTTTGGGAAGAAGTTGCGAAACCTTATAGGCGCGACTTTTTAAGAGCTTTTTTTCATTAAATTTCACTCCGCAACGTTTCCTTCGCTCTTCGGCGTGTAATATACTAGTAACCGAACCTCGTAAGCCGTGACCCGGAAGTAGATGGGATTAGCGGTATCACGGAAACCCCCATACAGTTCGAAAACCTACGCCAAAATGAGTTCTTAGCTAGCGAATAAAGGTCAAATTTGACGCTACAAAGCTCGTTTTTGTGTACCATTTTGATCTTCAAGTGAACTTCCCAAGGTTCCCTGCCTTGTAAGGATTACAACGACATATATGTTAGCCTGGCTTTCCCGATTCTGACTGCGCTATGATAAATTCTGTGAACCATGCTAAGGACTCATTTCGGCGGTTAACAGGGTTTTCATTTGCCGCCATATTGAAGGAATGATTCCGTGCACAATAATCCAATTCACTTGCAAATTTTCCAAATATTCGCATGAGCATAATTAGAATTTTTCCACCAATGACGTCCATGAAACTCAAACTTCTATATGAGAAAAGACTCCCCATGTGCTTATAGCAAGGAGTATTCAATATTCATATGCTCAATTGGATGTTATGCTGACACAATAAATTATTTTACCTCTCTTTCAGGTCTGTCCTGGATTACCCTTTGCTGCATAACCAGAGCCGTGTACTCATTACCAATACAATCACTGCCGCCGTGCACTGTGCTATTGCACTCATAACAAATAATAACCACTGCCGCCGTGCACTGTGCTATTGCACTGATAACAAATTTACCTACTGCTGCCGTACAGACTGTGCTTTTGCACTCATAACAAATAATAACCACTGCCGCTGTGCACTGTGCTATTGCACTCTACCAGTCTCTTCCGTTTGTGCTCTATCTGCCACTAAGCACTGTGCATTTTGCACACAAACACTATCTTGCCATTCTGCAGACTGCATTTTGTACTAGGTCATACCAGGATCTGCCACAAATCACTCAAGAAAACATAACTACTGAGTATACGAAAATCAAAGCAAACACTCCACAGGGAGACCTATGTAGGGTTATCGGCTGGAGCTTCTATTGCATGGGATCTACATTTGATCAGAAAATCCCCCCCCCCAAAAAAAGATCAATCCAGGAATGCCTGAAAAAGAGGCAACAGTTTTATAACTATAGCTTAGGTCACTCACATAAGACACCAACACACTGTTAAGTGTTGAATTTTGTTACCATTGAACCAATACATATACACATGGGCTCTCTAATACAAAGGAACCCAGGTATTCATAAAATTTTATAATTAATATACACAAAATTTACTTCACTGCTAACAAACAGACAAAGAAATCTTAGTGTATCTCAAAAATATTCACTTACTTTCCATACAATTTCTATATGTTTCCAACTACACGATTATATTAATTCCATACAATTCTTATATTTCATACTAGACAACGATATTGCTTCTTTAAAATACTATTTCATAACGTTTATATGAATGGTTAGGCACCCCAGGTAACATTTTGTTCTTCAGAATAAAACGTTATCACTTTTAACACGTGTCTCTGCTCTTTGTAGAAAAACATTCATCAATATTCTTAAGACAGCACAATTTCAAAATGACACAACATAACGTGAAACATAATTCCTTTATTGTATTTTGAGAGGTTTTGAGATTTTGAGAGGTATTTTGTTCAGACACGTGCTAACACACTGTGACAAAACTCACACTGCCGGGGTTTATCCGCCATCCCAAGACAGGAACGCGATAGCCAGGCCACAGATGGCTGTGTTTCAGGGCTGTGTAATTCAATCTTTGCAGCGTGACGACGACGATATAATGATTTGAACAGGCCTAATTTGATTTAAACATTAGAAATAATTCAAAACTAGCATATCTTGATAAATAAAAAAAATAAGAAGAAGAAAGAAGAAGAAGAAAAATACCTTTAAGACATAGAAAATTTTGAAATCCGTAAAGCTATAACACAGCTAAGAATCAGCAATCACAAATTGAATATAGAAACAGGAAGATACTAGTTTTACAATGTAGCCCCTGACCAAAGATTTTGCCCATTTTGCCCACAGAAAATTGAAGATGAATTTCATTTTATCATGGAATGCTCTAGATATGATGTCCTACGTGATAAGCTATTTAAATTTCTCACTTCAAATACGACAGATTTTTAATAGACTTGTTGCTACAGATAGATTTGATTATATATTTAAATGCAACAGCCCACACAATGCAAAAATAGGCTACATACATAAAGGACTGTTTTGTCATTAGAAAGAATACTGATTTGCTGTCACATGTACCCATAAAAATCCGCCTGATTGTAAAGCCTAAGATAACTTTTGATGATTTCTTTTCTATATATGTAAGTTGATAAGTTTTCTTCTGTACCTATCTATTTTACTATGCTACTTATTGTTACCTTTTTGCCATACAATGTACCCTATACAATTGTCGTGCAATAAAGTTCTTCTTTATTACACGTTGGCAAGAGATGTGGTAAACCACTGCAGGGTTTACCCTGATTAGGGTATAGTACATACCCTGATTGGGCTTTTGACAAAGCAACAGCACTAAAATCAGTCAAATCTGTACAGAATAATAAGACGACTTCCTCAAAATCCAACAAGGGTCTTGTAGTATTACCATACATAAAGGGGACTTCTGAAGTAGTAAAAATTTCGGTAAATATGACATCGAGACTTGCTTTCCATCGACGCGGACTCTAAGACAAATTCTAGTCGCTCCAAAGGACAAAACACCCAAGGAATATACATGTGGAGTGGTTTACCACATCTCTTGCCAAGGTGTAACAAACAAGGGACAGTGTAAAGAAACAGACATCGGTGAAACAGGACACCCCGTCTCGCTGGAAAAAGTGAAAATTCTGGATTTCTTCGCGAGAGGAGTAAAGGAGGCGGTGTGCATTCTGGCCAACCGTCTAACACTGAACAGAGACGGGGGGTTACACACCTTATCTGACACGTACGGCCCTTTGCTGCAATCACGTGTTTCCTACTTCAAGCCCCGGAAGCTGCAGTAGAAGGGCCCATTCCTTAAACAAGGCTGACCATAATCGCACATATTTATTTACGCCTGGGGCCAGTTTTGAACCCATACAGTGGTTTAAGTGGTAATACTTCAATCATATTTTTTTTTTGGTCTTGCAGAAAGTGGAGATAAACAAGCCTGCTTCACTGATCCTACTCCAGGATAACGTGGCAGTCCTAGATGTGGAAAGTCAGAAAAATGTCTTATGGTTCTGCAGGGATGCGACCCAATATCTTGTCATCAATGAAGGGAAGTAATGAATTAGTTTAATTGCAGTTCTGCGCGGTACGCGGTAGTTCTAGAACAGGCTGCAAGGTGGCTTAAACAATCACAGCGGCAGAACGTATTGCGCCTGCACTAAACCCAGATTTTGACGTCTTTTAAATATTTGGTCAACAATGCATCTTTACGACATTATATAAGACGTTCTGCTGAAGTTCTTTTAATAATACATTACGGGTTTTGAGTGCTGTTTAAATTTTCTTCTTTGAGAGTAGTGGAACAACTATAGTAGTTATCATGAAATCGAGGGAGAATGAACTCAATCAATCGATACTTACTCGGAAACATGCAGATGAAAGTACCTTCCAAGTGACGTGATATGCGACAATAGATGCCGAAACGAGATATCAGCCTGCTTCATGTGTAGGCTTAGTGCCCAATTGTGTGGTGTATCCATGAAGTATGATAGACAATTAATCGCAAAACCGCGATACTTATATAGCCTGTGGTTTAACAGACGTTGCTGTACGATATAACTAATGATATAACATAAATAATTATTATTCCTCATTGTCCGTATCTCTGTAGGCTTTTCTTATCATCCAAGTGTGTAATGATGGTTACGATAACACAAAAAATTGGATATATTTGATGTATTTCTCTGGTATTTCTTTTTCAGGTGAAAGAACGCAAAGGTTTTTCTTAGAACTCGGCATAGGCCTGCTAGTTGGAGGACTATTTAGTCTTATTAAGTGCATTATCTTCTGCCCAGTTCGCGACCCACCAGGTTTGTACAGTTTTAATCGCGTTGAAAACATATGTAGCCGTGTCTGCTATGCAATTGTCAAAATGTATGTTCACTTGCCTTCGTATCCATATTTTCACGTTTTTTTTTTTCATTTTGCCACCACGTCTTATGGTGTCACTATTTAGCCAATAACTTTGCGGTCTCTTACGATAAATCTTTTATACCAGTAAAACTGGCATCCCCCTGCATATTTACGATATTAAAAGTAAGCATCCGTTTAATTTCATAGCTTAAAGATTCAAGCATGTTTCGTACCTCTGATTATTACTCAAAACGTTTGAGAATGCATTAAACAACTCCATTATCGATAAGAGATAATATTAAATTCCAACCACCTGGTAAGAATTTTAGAAATGATTTTAATGATAAATCAATATTCATATTTCTAAATGTTCGTCACATTATTGATTTTAGGAACCCACGTTTATGTTACATACAAAGAATGGCGTTTAGCAAAGTTTACTAAGACAAAGCACTATGCTTTTATTCAATTATTTTAAACATATATTTTAGATACAACCCCGCCAAAGTTTTCGTGCCCTATGGACATATCTGTTTATGCTCTACCCCTGGAGAAGACGGCTGAAGTATCCTGGGACGAGCCTTTAGCATATGATGCCCAAGACCGAGATTTTAACATTCCGTACGTATGTGATATTTTTAGAGGTTAGTCATGACAAAGGTTCTGAGCTCATCATTGCGTCTTTAACGTCATTATGACACTATTTGTGTGAATTTTGGCTGAAATAAGGAAACAGCTTATAGTACAACATCTGGTTCGACAGAAAATACTGCAATTGCATTTGGGACAACTATCAAAAAAGGTAAAAAGTACCACAGATCATAACGATTCTTCATGCAGTTATTGAGTTACTAGGTTCTTTTTTACCTCTTTAATAAACTGACGCTGTTAAAAAAAGCTACGGAGGAATCTTGACCTGGAATCAAAACCTGGCTTCTTTACAAGAGCTATCCACAGGAAACACAAAATGTAAAACTTAGAATTCCTGTGACTGTAACAAAATAAACTATACACGACCTCATACCTTCGCCAAATGATGTTAATCTTTATGACGGACAGATTATAGATTATTCCCCTTGATTATGCAAATAGGATCCCTACTTGCAGGAAGTATATCAGCTGATCATATTCTCCAACAAAAGACTATTATCTTAACAAATTATGCCATTCTAGCATGTGCTCATAATTGCAGATATGCAGATAAGGTCATTTTTTGAATTAGTTGTGTTTAATGATGTTCACCTTCACTTAGCTTACAAATACCTTAAGTATGAAATTCCAGGCAGTTACAATTGCTGAATTACAACATTTTCTTATCAATCCTAAACAGTACACCTGGGGTCCGCGCACTATATATTCTGTAATATATTTTTTTTGTTTCTAAAGATTTTTTTCTGAAATATTTAGGTAATTGTCACCCACAAAGTTGTCCCTCAATACAGTGCAAAAAACTCAGTTTCCCCATTTTTTTAATTTTTTTATATCGCGCCAGTGCCCGCGCCAACTTTGATGTCAGGTAGCGTCTGAACGGCTAGCGCTAGAACGGCCAAACGTAGTGACTTTTCCTAGAATATTGTTGGCAACAATTGTATATCATTGCAATAAGATAATAATTTTTTGTGTTGCCATAGCAACGTGTTTCTGGCAGGCATTTTTTTTCTAAATTTATTAATTTTTGTTTCAACAATAGAATTTTATGGGTTTTATGTCAAGTTACTCATGGTTTCTAATATTAATAACATCCCATATAATTTTATGTACATTTTATTATTAAATATACATAATTTATGCTAATTTGATGACGTCATTGGTCAAAATCCAAGATGGCGGAGCATATCATTAGAACAGGTATATACAGGTTATTTTCATTAAAATTTCATAAATACCTACATTTCTTTTCACAAAAATGGTTTATATGAAGGACTTTTGTATGATCACAATGTATTTTAGACTTTATTATGAAAAAAAAAAATATTTTTGAAAATTCAAGATTGATGATCCAAGATGGCGGATATCTTAAATATGCATGACGTCTTTTTATGAAGTCACCGGGGTTGCTATGGGCAACATAAGACTTAGCACACCCTAATATTCTGTCATTAACACTTTTGGTAAAGTTACGTTGTATGCAATTTAGTTTTCAGGGAAAAAACCAATCTAGACAGTTTTGGCCAATAAAATCACGTAAATGACGTCATAATGACGTCACATTACGTCATGACAACATAAAAAATTATAGATATGATACATTTTTACTAGTACACCACCAAAATTTGGTGGTCCTACGACATACCGTTCGCGAGATCTGAGGGGGGGGGGGTCAAATGAGCCCCCTGGTCCAACATGCCCAAAAAAGCTCGGTCCAGGTAGGGTTAATGTACGTTCAACATCATTAAAACTAACATGCACATCTGAACCTCATTTGCAAAACAGGTAAGACAATGCTATTGTAAGGAGCCATTCCTTGCCCAGTCCCCAAGCAAAGGTATGACAATAAAGAGAGGAGATTAGAGGTGTGCTTTGAAGTACAGTGTATTTTGTGAAAGAGCACGTTCTAGACTGATATTGTTAAAACTTGTTTCTAAGAAGTGGTCACAGAACTAGTCTACTTACCTCTAGGGGTGGCGGGCTCTACGATTCTATATAGTTAAGAAAAGTTAAACATTTGGGTACCCGATTGGTAGTGGTCGCCGGGAGAATCATCATATGCACAGTCAATTGAATTAACTAATGAAAACGGGGGCCTTATTAGTATAAACATTGACAAAAGATCAGTAGGACAAAGGGGCAAACATTATTCGGCGAGAGTAAAAGATGTTGGAATTCCGCTTGTTTGTAAGACATTTGAGTACTTCTAAAGTCCGGAAAGCAACTTTAATATGTACGGAAAGTTGTGTGCAACGATTTTTTGTGTACACAGCACAAAGCGGATTCCCGATTCACCCAAGCCGGGAGATTTTCTTACGGCAGATGTGTACACTGTTACATATACGGCGAGCGACGCCTCCGGTAACGCCGCCACCCCCCCTTGTACCTTCAACATCAATGTGTGTGGTAAGTAATAGCTTAGGGCTGTCATTAGAACTTTATGTGTTACTGTTTTTATTTAATGGTCGTATGGCTTTGTTACGATTAAAAGAAACCGCTTTTAACAATGTCAATTTTAATACAAATTTGTCTCATATTCAAATTTTCCCCTAAAAAACATACTTCAAATTGCATGATTGTAATATCTTAATGTGGCTTCTTCTCATTTTTTTTAAATAGCATGCGTGATAAATGTTCAGAGTGGGCAACATATTCCTACACATAAAAATATCAATAAAATGCTCATGACGAATTGCTTATTGATTTTTGTTGATATTTGACAGTGACAAAATGCCCTCATCCGTCCGAAATATGGGATCAGGTGAAGCAAGGAAATATGTCAGTAACATTCTACCCCAACACAAATGATATGCTACTCGGAACTACGCTTGCTGCGACATGCAAATGGGGATAGGTTTTGAGTGACGGTTCACCACGGATAATGAAGACCTGCACAGCGGGACGTGAACTGCCCGCTGGAGTCTTCTGTAATCCTCGAACCACTGATATTGGACAATGGGACGGCAAAGATATAAGTTGCATACGTGAGTGCATTTTAGATATTTTAGTTTTATATACAATAACAATGTTTTGTGCACTTTTGTAGATCAAAGCAGTATTCAGGCTACAATCAAGTGACACCATGTAAATTTATATTAAGCCGTTACAGATTAAAAGAAGTCGATGTGTAACGGTTGATTTTGTTTAAAGGAAACAATACCCGTCGTATGGATATCAATTGTCTATACCTGGCTGTCTGTATAAATCAGAATCATATATCGTCACCCGTTGTAAGATATGTGTGTGACTGTACGATAATTTCGTATATTTTATCTACGAGCATTTTAATACTTTTAATACTGGTTAAAAACCCAAAGTTGACAAGCAAAAATTACCTTAGCTTAACGGCGTTTTTAATGTTTTATGTCTCTGATTTCATGTCGAATACCCTGCGGTATTTCTTTCTAGCCGTACGGTGTGATCCATTACCGCCGCCATACCGGGGACGTGTTTCCTGTACCGACGATTACAACTTCCTCAGTGAGTGCACCTACAGCTGCGACGAAGGTTTTGACATACCAAGTGGGATGAACCGAGTACGAGTTTGCACAGCCGCTGCAGAATGGACTGGCAGAGAGGCACAATGCAAAGGTACGGAAAACAAGTTCCAATGTTCACGGCGGTCTGTCACTACGGCATTCTTTCCCATTGCTATGCGCGTTCGAAAAGGTATCTGGTTACAAGACGCTATTTTGGCCTGTTTTGGACTACCCGTAAAATATTTGAAAATACACAACTAATATTTAGGGGTAGATTTCGTCAAATCAAAATGAAAGTATCGTCTTAACATCCTTCAAATGTTAGCTTTTTATGTTAAATCAATGATTTTTAAAAATTTCGCTCAGAAAGACGATTATTTTCGGGTTTCCGAGCACAAGTCATGTCACGTTTTTAGGCAAACATCGTTCAAACCTGGGTACGTATATTACCCCAGATCCCCGATTTTTATATTTTTCGCAGACTAGGAATAAGACAAAAAATCGTGTTTTAGGGATTTTTTAATTTCTGATTTTAAGTCTAGCTTTTGTCGACATATTGGTGAAAAAATGGCATTTTTTGACATTTTTCTCACTAAATTACCCATAATTCAGAATTGAGGCCATTTTTCAAAAATCCCTAAAACACGATTTTTGGGACAACCGTTACAGTCATTTTGAGCCGTAAATGGGGTATGTTTGACTCTCCATGTTTCCAGGTTTGAACGAGTTTTGGAGACATGTCATATCGCCAGAAAGTGTGCATTGTGTTATTCATACTGGCGTAAAGAATTATTACAGTATTCAAGGTCACTCAAGGATACGACAGTAGCTTCGCTACATGTTACATGTCCACCAAAAATAATAGCGGACATGTGCTGTCCAGGAAACTGTTTGTATCTATAGAAAAGTGTTGTTTTTTATCTGTTGCAATGCACGGAGGTAGAAAGGCTTGTTTTGCCGCTTAATAGTAAATGACCGCAGGTGACCCCGAAATAGAACGCGGGTTCGATTCGAATTCCCCAGATCGAACACGATCGAACACAGTTCGGGTTCTATGACATGTGGGAACTTTGCAGCCCAGATTTTACCACCGTGGTTAGAAATGTTCCAAATATATGCATTATAGCCAAAAAAGAACTGCATAGCAACTGATGGTCTATATATTCCTGATTTTGTCAATGTAATTTTCCTCTTAAGTCATCAAGAACATAAGTTAAATCGGAATGTTATGTTTACAAGTTACTTTCAGAAGACAATCAATAGACTAAAAAGAAAATCAAGGCATTTAAGAAACTCGTAATATTTGCATTATTTTTTTCTCTTCTCTTACAGCCTAATAAAAGTAAAGTACCGTAAACAATTTATGTATATATTGTTGGCTCACTGTTTAATCCCAGTTAGCCTTAAATCATCAATTCCGAAGTTAATAAATGTTCATTTTTAGTTTTTCTTTTTCTATATTACAGACATCATTAGGCCAAGAATTGTGGACTGTCCAGGACCTCTTCTTATTGAGTATCTAGATATGAATGATAAAGAGGTAACTGTAATTTGGGTAGAGCCATCAGTAAGTGATAATGCAGACCCCGGCCTCACAGCAGACCTATCAGAGGGAAAACCACCTGGGTCATCGTTTCCTGTCGGAACTCATAGAATTGTATACACAGCAACGGACACAGCGGGCAATGCAGCCATTCCTTGTGAATTCACAGTGTCGGTCAGAGGTGATTATCATGGTTTCCATATGTTTGCGAATTAGATTATGTGGTATGTCTTCATCCGTCCGTCTCTTATGACTATAACGATGATATCAAGAAATCGATCACTGCTTCTGCTCGTGTCTTGGTAAATATAAATATCACAAAGCCATTTGCATGTAGAGAATTTTATTTAAGGTCGTCTTCTTCTGGGATATAATTTTTGCTTTTTGCTCTAGTTTCTGATTAGGTAAGTTCTAGAGTTCTTACTGTCTGTTTGGTAGTTTCTTTCCCAAAATGCACCTAATTGCAAATGCACTTCAAAAATGCATGCTAACGTTTTAATGACACGAATATTAGAATGCTCACCAACTTAACTGAACAAGGTTTAGAATTTTTTTTTATGAATACTTTTTAGAAATCACATGTCCGGAAGTTAAAAAGAAGCCGTACCAACTTGTGTCATGTCCTGGCGGCAATTCGTACGGTTCACGTTGCGAGTTCTCGTGTGAGGATGGGGCCCGGCTCATCGGTACGAACTTCTCGTATTGTGGCAAGACAGGGGACCCTCCAGTTGGCTACTGGGATTGGGATCTGGATCAGTTGGAGGACAGCCAACCTAAATGTGAAGGTAAGTGTTCCTGAATTATATTAGTAGTGTATGTCCCTCACAACTTCAAAAGCTAGGGGTCTGAAAGTTCAGGTTAGTGATACTAGACTCTTCATTCCATTCATGTATAAAAAAGGAACTTAAGAATCACATTTTAGCTCCTTGGTATACATAACCAATCTGCCTGTCTGTTGCATTTTGTCCCAAAATTAAAAAAAAAATCTGTCCCCTTTCTCATAATTAATCCGGAATGAATCACGGGTAAACGAAAACCAATCTAAATTATTGAATGTTTACACTATTGGGACGATTTGCAATTCATACCTGACTTTCCTTTCCCACACTTTCTATTAACACATTTCAATATTTATAAAAAAACGTGAGCACCTTACCTGATTTTATTTTTACAGGACATCCATGTCGATCTCTAAGGGTACCACAAAATGGAGCTCTTGCCTGCGACGCATGGCTTTACGGGAAATATTGCACGATGCTCTGCAATACTCGATACGACATTCCTCCGGGCCTGCGAATCAGAAACTCTCTCTGGGTTTGCGGATCTTCAGGAAACTGGGACTACCCGGACCCACCACACTGCTCTGGTCAGGAGAAAATGTTTTTGTTTCACACATTGATTGCGGTTTGCAAATGTTGCTATCCATTAGAGTGTTTGAAGAAGTTTTTCCATACATTTGTATTTCTGTAATTTTGATTCATATTAAACATATCGATTTTTTATTACCCAACGTTATTCAAAAGGCATGGAAGTCCTTGTGTTTGTATAAAGAAAATTAACGGGTAATCCACCATAAGACCATAAATGAATGCTTGTTGTTTTTAGAAAGAAGACGTCCATCTTCTATGCGACTACCCTCCGAACTGCAGTACTTTGCAGGGGACTGCGGAAGCTCTGACACACAAGAACAAATCAGCGAAAATTTTGTCCAGATATTTCAAGATTCAGGTTTTGGTTCGATCTGTGCCCATCTAAGCTGCACAGTAGAAAATGTAAACGTTATCTGTGGCAGCACTTCACGACGAAAACGTGATGATACACAAACAAACTCATCTGAGACATCTGTACTGACAATTCAGTTCGACTTTGCACTTCCTATTTCTGATGAAATTTCCGTATACGAAAGTGAACAGGTGTTGTATTCCCTGGCAGATGAAACAAGCAGGCAGGTCTTGTCTGGAAATTTGACAATGAAGAATGTTACAGGGGTAGAGTTGGTGTTAAATCAGCAATCCTTCAAAAGTGGGCTAAGTGAATTCCAGTGCCCTGACGGAATGGAGCCTCGTTACGACACATTTTCATGCAGTAAATATCCTCTTTTATTTACATTTATAATTATTCTCAAGTTTAAATTGTTGCAATATTTTTCCGGTAAGACGGCCATAAATTCTAAAAAAAAAAAATAGATGTTTACTTTCTTGTTGCAAATCTGTGTCATGTTTTTTGTAGTGTTGAAATACTATCGGTTAGAAATGGCTTCTATTCACTGCAGTTGGTTGCTCTGCCGGGACTTTCTACAATAGCATGACCAAAAACTGCCAAGAGTGTCCGATCGGAACCTTTCAAGATGAAGACTCACAGTTCGATTGCAAGAGATGCCCACACGGATACACCACTGTGGCAGAGGGAGCAAACAACGAAACTGTTTGCAGACGTAAGTTTCGTAGACTTGTATATTTCTATCTTAGATTCAAGCTAACATAAACTCAAAGCAGATCATACGAATACCAGGCGGTTTCTGTTGGCCAGAATAGTGAGCATTAATATCTGCTGACACTGAAACAGGGAGAAGCATTTCTTTTGAAAATTGGTGTTGTTCCCCCTCCTTGTTGTCTAATATAATTTTAACAGCAATGTTAATAATATAGGTGCTAAAGCTTTTGCAAGCGATTTATATGTTGCATCTCCGACAACTTACCCGCACAAATTTCTGTGGTAGTTCATGCGCCAACCTGAACCACTGATAATGCTGAATACTAAAAGATGCTGACTAAGGATAAACCATTGAAAAAATGATTAGGGTTCTTGTAGTTTAAAGCAGGGCAATAAACCCACTGTCAATTGCATTTTGCGTAGGCAAAAACTAGGTGTTGTTAATAGCATTTAACTTTTCGGCTGTCAACAGATCTAGGTAGCTAATGGACAGTCCTCTGGCTATTGTGAAATATCCTTGAAGATTAATTTCACAATATTTGAAAAAAGAAAGTCAGCTTAGATGGACATAGGCCTTTGTCTACATCATGACCTAATAGAAGTAACGGAGTTGCCAATATTGTAGAAATTGTTTCAAGGATAACAGAAATCTCACTTGCTTACGCACACTCTAAAATGGTAGAAAAAAAAACTAGAAAAAAAGCTAGAAACATGAGTAATGTTGAGAAAAAAAAACGATTTTTTGCAGGTGAATGCAGGCCAGGCACATTTTCATCTAACGGCGTGCAGCCCTGCTCTCCTTGTAACAGAGGGGAATATCAGCCCACAATGGGAGAAACGTCGTGCATTTCCTGTCCACCGGCTACCACGACATTGTTTGAAGGAGAAGCGGATGTCTCAGCTTGTGAAAGTACGTTTATACAGCATTTCCGGCAACTGATAATTTAGTTGTTAAACTCGGAAATAATTAGATCAAATGAAAAACTGGTAATGCAGACTTACACATATAAGCATGGGCAGTGAACAGAGAAAAACCTATTGAGTAGTTTCGTATGCTTCGCGGCAAATGTATGATATAATGGCTACAGATTTTCGATAATGTGTACTCGTCTTGAAAGTATATGAAAAACCTGCTATTTAAGAGTCCTTTCTTGTAACTTTTGTCAATGTCTTTTTTTTCAGATTTTGATCTCCAGTTTCCCCGACCATCCCCGAAAGTCTCGGGTTGTGTAATCTATGACGATGTGGAATTTAAAAATGCTAGTGGCATTACTGTTTCATTTTGGGTTTGGTTTCATAACAGTTGTCACCCGAATGCGTCGATGTTTCACTTCTATTGTTTGGACACCTCCAGAGAAAATTGGCGTAACGAAACTACTCAATACCCTTGCTTCTACATGTCATCACCACAAAATATACGCCTTGGACTACGAAGGTATGTATATGACTACCATTTTACTGTAGTTAGGCATATTGGTCATCACCAGTGTTAGAGTGTTCTTTTCCGATTGAAGAAGCAGAGACTCAGGTTGCAAGTTGCCAGGCTTTATTTCCACGTCCCACCTCTCTGGAACCCTGAGACAGACTCCCCCTTCCCCCTGGAATGCCTTCCTGACCTCGATATTCCATTTCGGGCTTAACCGTTACTTATCAGGGAAGGGTATAAACCTACCGGTTTGCAATTTTCTCTAGCATGTAACACCTCCCCCAAGATGATAAACATGTGAAACATTGTTTCGTCATCTGACAACATGCTCACTACTACTAATACTACTAACAGGGGAATCAGCTACCTTAAAACACTACTCTGTTACAATACACTTCTACTCCGGTACTTCACCTGGTCAGCCATGGCATGCTCTGAAACTTATTTCACACCATACTCCTGCTTGGTGCGTTTTCCTGCTGCCTTCTTTAGTTGGTGCTGCCTCCGCAACCAATGCAGCCGACCCCTACGGTAAACCGGATCCTCCTCCATGAGCTTCTGTATCCTCCGTTTTATGATACTCTCGCTCCTCACCTTTGCCTTCGGAGGATATGCGACTTGGCCACCTTGCTGGCGTCTCGCTGGAATCTGATATCGTGGTACCGCTGACTCCATCTTCTCACCACGCCCAAGGCACCTCTTGTCCTCCCCCAACTCACTCTGGATCTCCTGAGTTGTTACCGGACCTGCCCTACTTCCGACGCAGGCCGCCCTGTAGTCGTTGCCTAGCAACACTGGATAGGGTGTGTTCATCACCCCTACGTCTACCTCTCTCACGTTACCATCTACTTCCAGCTCAACTCTGGCCGTAGGAACGCTGTCAACAGCCCCATTGGCCAGTCTGAATTTAATGGCATCTTCTGTGTATGCCTTCCTCGGCACCAACGTCTTGTTGACAAAGGTTCTGGAGCTCCCAGTGTCCCTGCACACCTGTACTCGCTGGCCGTTCACAGCTCCAGTGCTGCTGTACTTGCTGTCTTCCGCCAAGTTTCCATCCGCGTCCCAGGGCTTGTCCGCTCCCTGCGCGAACATACTCTGTGCCACCACATTCTTCTTTGAGAACCCTTTCCCCAAACTAGGGTAATCAGCTTTCACGTGCCCTGTTTCACGACAGTGGTAACAGGTCTTACGGAAGCCTCCCCCAGGCTCCCCGGAGCCACCTTGACCGCTCTTCCGGGCAGGCTCACCCTCAGAGCTTGATGAGTTGCGTGGACGGACACCTTCAGCCAGGCTCGTCTCGTGAGCCATCAGATACTGGTCACTCATCTTCCCCAACTCCTCCAAGGACTTTGGTTTCCTCTCTCGTAGGTGAATCGACAGCTCTAAGGGGCACAGATCGAGGAATTGTTCCTGAACAATCAGGTCGCAGATTCCTTCATACGTCTTGGGAGTTTTGGACAGCTCGATCCACCTGTTAAGGTAACTGCCCAAACGTACGACGTACTGGTCCGGCCCCTCCCCCTCCTGAGGAACTTCAGAACGGAACCTTTTCCCGAACCCGTCTTCTGTGAGCTCATATTTCTCGAGATGATGGCGTCCTTCACTTTATCGTAATCTTGGGCATCGTCATCAGATAGCCTGCTATAGACATCCAGTGCCTTCCCCGTGAGTAGGGCACTCAGTAGAGACGCCCACGTGTCTTCCGCCCAGTGGTTAGCGCGCGCAAACCTCTCGAATCTCAGGAGGTATCCGTCCATTCCCTCGCCTTCTGTGAAGCTTGGTAGTCTCGGCGTCTTTGCCTTGACGTCTCCTGTAACTTCTTTCTTGGCCTTATGGTACTCGATTTCCGCCTGCCGTACCTTCAGCTCTTCCATCTCCAGCTCATGTCTTCGTTGAGCCTCTTTCTCCTTGGCCTCATTCTCCCTCTTAGCCTCTCTTTCCTTGGCCAGTTCATCTCTTTCTATAGCTTGCTGGGCCATCACAAACTTCAGGAGGTTTTCCCCCTCCAAGCCCATCTCCTTGCCTTGTTCGATTAGCTTATCCATGGCTGACACAGGTACACCACCCCCTAGCCACAGTCAATGAACGGTCCCTGCAGTCAATGCACTATCCCTCCCAGACTCAGTGTCTCTGATAAAAGTGGGACCAGATGTGACCAGTGAACCCCACTCCCAAAATGCTATACTGAACTAGCCCTAGCGGAAGCTATCTGTCAACAGCATATGGCTAATCCATCAACAGCACATTCCTAAGCAGAGTAAAACCTCACAAAACAACACAAGACTTCTAGTAAATACACTTCTAGGAGATACAGACTTCTACTAAGTTCTATAAACTCGCAACAGGTCAACAGAACAACGAAATACTCCACGTGTCTTCCGCCCAGTGGTTAGCGCGCGCAAACCTCTCGAATCTCAGGAGGTATCCGTCCATTCCCTCGCCTTCTGTGAAGCTTGGTAGTCTCGGCGTCTTTGCCTTGACGTCTCCTGTAACTTCTTTCTTGGCCTTATGGTACTCGATTTCCGCCTGCCGTACCTTCAGTCTGCTTCAGTCTGCTCTCTCTCTGCCACTGTCTTAAATTATATGATAGTTCCTACAGTTCAGTACATGAATCCTTTAAGACAGTCCCGCTGCTCACTCCTCCTCGAGTCGTCAATTTCCGGAAAGCGTCCATACAACACTGCTGGGCTCCACAGCGTCCCGTCTTCTCCGGAATTCCCTCCTGGACTCTCCTCTTGCTGGACTCTCCTCCGGTCGCCACCTGTAGCTCCTATCCGCGAACCTTGCAGTATATCCACACTACACCAAGTCCGCTGCTTTCTCCTCTGTCTGGTCTCCCGCCTCAGCTTCCAACTTTGCAAGATTCTCACAAAGCCCACTTATCTCTGCTGGTTACTGTGAGTCTTCTCCTCTGGCTCCCACGTGCTAGACGTCTGGTCTCCAGCCTCAGCCTCCAACTTTGCACAATCCACACAAAGTTCACTGATTCTTGCTGGTTACAACCTCCTCCGGCGTTCCACTATACACCTGAGATCCCTTTTCTCCAATCCTGCCGACAACGCCAATGTTAGAGTGTTCTTTTCCAAATGAAGAAGAAGAGACTCAGGTTGCAAGTTGCCAGGCTTTATTTCCACGTCCCACCTCTCGGGAACCTGAGACAGACTCCCCCCTCCTCTCTGGAATGCCTTCCTGACCTCGATATTCCATTTCGGGCTTAACCGTTACTTATCAGGGAAGGGTATAAACCTACTGGCTTGCAATTTTCTCTAGCATGTAACAACCAGAACGAAACTAATTGTCCTTGAGATATTATGTATGGTATTGCTGCTCCTGCATGCATAATTTATCAAAAAGGCTACCTAATGAGAAAGAAAATGTATGTTCTTTTTTTTTCAGAAAAAATGAGACCACAGAGATACAGACAGGTGTCAGCTGGCGCCATGAAACCTGGCACCATGTTGGAGTTGTATACAGTGCCACGAACAGCACATACATGATCACAGTTGATGGGAAAGCTGTTGCAAATGACAGTTTTTCTCAGCAACTACTGCACGAGGGCATCAGCCAGCATGGACCACTTTGGCTAGGCTGTCACATTACTGAAGGTTAGCCAATGTAACATAATGTTGCCTTTCCCATCTTAATTAGCAAACGCTTAAGTCAATGCGGCTAATGCTACAAGCGCTTTAAATAAAAAGGCATTTATTTACAAGGGCTAAAAAGGGGATGTAAAATAAGGGGCTGTCAAATGATGCCAATTTCAACGCCTAAGAGAAAGGAAAAACTACAGAAAGGTATGTATAGCCAAAAACATCATTTATGTGCATGTCTTCTTGGGCCCTTGTCGTCTTGTCAGACGATCTTCAGCATCAGTCGTTCTCTGGCTGGGCAGCGCCTCTCGTGGCTGGTACAGCCGATTCTGGCCCGGCAGGCTCTGCCGCAGAACCGGCAGCAGTACATATGCATGTACTGTCATCCTAATAGCAACACATAAAAATGGAAATTACTTTTATTTTGCATTAGAAAAATCGAGAAAAATAAAACATTTTAGAACGATAGCTCAAAACCTTCTATCAGCTGTCAATTTTCAGCTGCCTCTTTGATTTTTAACCTAAAATCACTGCAATGGTATTTTTATATATTAGGCACAAATGGAACAGAATCCTTTGCTGGCTTCATCAGCAACGTGAACATCTGGAGTCATGCCAAAAACGAGTCGGACCTTCTGGACATGGCACGAACGTGCGTCAACAAGAATGCTGGGGACGTACTTAGTTGGTCTCAACTTGCTACAGCCAAACAACTGAAAGTGTCGCTCCAAATTCCTAGTCTATGCGATGGTAAGTAGGAAAGTTGTTTCTGATAAATGTTAACATCGCCATACATTCAAATGACTCTGTTTTAAATTTCGTACTCGATGGTTAATTGCCATATTTCAAAAAATTCTGTGTATGGTCTAGTTACAAGCTAGGCCCCGTCACCATTACCACCTTAACATGATAATAAACTTGATTTACTCACTCATTTACTTATTCATTCATTCACTCACTGACTAACTTACTCACTCTCTCGCAATGTTTCTTTCTTTTAGACGGTTATCTTGTCTCTAAATACAAAATTTATATCCCTCATAAAGACACCGACGAGTGTGCATCAGCACCTTGTGGAGACAACCAGTGTGTAGATCAACTCAGAGACTACAGTTGCATCTGCAAGACTGGTTTCATTGGGCAAAACTGCGAAATCAACATCGATGACTGTGAAGACAACGTGTGCCAGAACAACGCTACCTGCCTGGATGGTGTAGGAAACTACACATGTCTGTGCTCAGAGGGGTTTGTTGGGGACTTTTGTGAAGTGGAGTCAGGTATCCTTACAATTTGCATAAAAGAAAAAGTTTATTCATGTATCAGCACATCGTACAAATCTAATATAGAACTAAGGGCATGCTCTAAGATCTATGTACCTATTATTATTAGCTAAGGTATTATGTCGTGGAACTCTCGTTGGAAACTATGATATATGTTGCTACTAAACTTGCTGTGGCAGTTTTAAAAAGCCGTATTTACATGATGCTCTATATACAGTGTTGGTTACCACGCCAACTGGGCAGCAAATTCTTGAATTGAAATTTGTATTGTCCGTAAATTCTCACAAATAGATGCCTTTTACTGCAGTTGATGGCAACTGGGCACCATGGAGTCAGTGGAGCAGCTGCAGTGCTTCTTGTGGCGGAGGGAATCACAGCAGGACCAGGGAATGCATCAATCCTCGACCTATGCACGGGGGAAGCAACTGCACGGGGCCATCTTTTGAAATAGGCGCGTGTAATACGCAGAATTGCCCAGGTGAGCCCAATAGCTTTTTTGCATATACACCGAGGCACAGATAGATGGTCTACAATAGAGCAAATTGCAAGTTAAATTTAATATCTATCATCATATTAATCATTCATGCCTGCAACTGAGTTCTTGACACTGTAATCTAACATACAACTAGAAAGGCCGACATTTGCTTGAGAGCAAATGCAGCAGATGGCTTCACCACATCCCCCATACCGAAAATGGATCTATCCTACGATGGCTGCCAATAGTCTACACCCCAATGCAGCAATGGAACCTTCCAATGCCGGAAATAGCCCAAAAGCTCTATTCTACATAACTTTAAAGTGGTATATGTCAAAATCGTGAATGACATTCTTTGGACATGTGTCCAAGGTATCCCCATACCAAATTTCAGATCATTCGGATTTAATATTAGGGCACAGGAGCCAAAAATATACATTTTTGGTCCGAAAATAGCCAAAAAGCCCTATTTTACACAATTTTAAAGTGGTATATGTCAAAAGCGTGAATGGCATTCTTTTGACATGTGTCCAAGGTATCCCCATACCGAATTTCAGGTCATTCAGATTTAATATTAGGGCACAGGAGCCCAAAATATACATTTTTGTTTCGAAAATAGCCAAAAAGCCTTATTTTTTCCAATTTTAAAGTGGTGTATGTCAAAAGCTTGAATGACTTTTTGTAGACATATGTCCAAGGTATCCCCATACCAAATTTCAGGTCATTTGGTTTTAGTACCTGGGAACCAGATCTCAAAATGTATATTTTCTGCCTGAAAATGGCCAAAAAAACCAAATAAAACAATTTTTCAAAAAAAAAATGAAAAAAAATTCGTCGGGGTATTGGCCCACTCTACGTCCATGCCAAATTTCAGGTCATTTGGCTGAAAAACGGCTGAGTTGAATCCCTTTAAAGAAATGGCAGGAGGAGAAGAAGAAGAAACATGAGGGAACACAATATGTCTTCACCACTTTGTGGTGAAGCCATAACTAATGGCCGTCATGATAAATGGAACTCATATAGACCTCTTGGTCTGCAAATTATTATGACTTAGGGACCACGATGTAGGAGGAGCGTTAGATTTTTTTTCTATATAATTTATTTAAATAAATAAAAACAAGTTATGCCAAGTACGTATACTGAATGAAACTGCTGAATGGCCCCTCAGTTTGCAAAAATCTTACTGACCCGGTCAACGGATTTGCAACATGCAACTCTACTGGTGAGGAGATTTACTGTACCATCTCCTGTAAACCTGGGTTCGAGTTCTATGATCAGCCAAACCTTCACTACCACTGTGGACAGTCAACATTGCACCAATGGAACCATGAGACACCAAGAAATCCCATGGCAAGATATCCTCCATGCACAGGTAAATCTTTTTTAATGATTAGTGATAAAATAGATTTGATTATTTAACACAATTATAAAGTAAGAATCTGTGACGGAGGGTAAAAAAACGAAAGGAAAAAAGGCTGTGCAGGTTTCAATGTACTTTTAACAACGGTTATCATACAAAAGTAAGAAAATGAGCTAGTGGGGTTGAACCTCTTAGTTGTAAATAAATGGGTTAACTAATTTTCATTAGTAAGAAATTAATACAATTAAAGTATCTTACTAGTTGAAAAATAGTTAACATCCTTCTGTAGCTCATTGTTTTACAAGTAAGAAAATTGAGACAGAGGGGTACGTGTTAACTTTTTCACTAGTGAGGAAATTGCGATAGATGGGTGTTAATTTTTTCTATAAGCGTTTATGCCGATTGTTAACACGAATATATTAAACTAAAATATTAGATAAATAGCTAGAGCTGATTAAAGTCACGTAGGTCAACTGCCTCACAAAATGTAACATTTTACTGCAACGTTTGCGTGCATACTTTTGTGTGTATAAGGTCAATCTAAATGGAAATTTTGTAAAAACATAATGTTGCATTATTGACTTGCTCATTTTGTATGCTTTTCAGAGGTAACTCCACCAAAGGCGTTGGATGTGAAACATGAGATGACCTATTCAAATCTTTCCTGCAAGACAGAAGAGAGTGCACGATTAGCAAAACTAGAAGTTGAAAAAACTATTCAGACAAGGGTGAAGGATATTGAGTGCGTTAAACGTAACTCATGCTACGTCAGGGCAATTGATGTTGAACATTGCTCAGGCCAGACTGTTGAAAGTGACAAAGTAACGGTTACTGTTGAGCTTTCAAGCATTTCTGTTGCTGAGAATGAGACAAACAACACCGACAAAAACCACTCATCCACAGCAGGTAAGATCTTATTGTAGTACATTCAAGCATCCTAGTGTCAGATGTCAAATTGCATTAGAATTAGAACTAGATACGCATAAAGGACCGTGTAATATTTGTGTGTGTGTGTGTGTGCGCGCGCGCGCGCACGTGCGTGTGTGTGTGTGTGTGTGTGTGCGTGCGTGTTTGTGTGTGTGTGTTTATGTGTGTGTGTGTGCGTGTGTTTGCGTGTTTATGTGCGTGTTTGTGTGTGTATATATGTATGTGTGTGCGTGTGTGTGTGTGTGTGTGTGTGCGAGTACGCGTGCATACATGTATTTGGCGTATAGTTTAAACGTTTATTTTGATTTACTGTAGAAGTCATTATACAAGATTGAACGAACATTTATTTCCAATTCAAGACATTGGAAGTAATTATTTTTCTGTTTAGATCCAATTTCGTCAAAAAATAAGCACCCTAGCTTTTGTCCCGTGTCCAAGTTTCCTTTTCGCCCAATATGACCGAATGTTAGAGAATGAGTAAGTTTAATTTAAACTTTTTGGGACCTTCAGTTTAAACTTATACTAGACGTTTTTTCATGGTAGAACATACTGACAATTTTTGTGAAGTTTGTGTAATGTTGTTGTTTTGTGTTGTTGTTGGAATCCAGGAACATTAGTTGTGCAACTAATGAATATCCCAATAAAGTACAGGGTTTCAAGTATTCTAATACCTATGTGAAAGTGTACTTCGGTTGACATTTTTGCAGTTTTAATAAAAAAAAATCTGTCTTTTTACAGGGAACCTTGCTGTCACCATAACAGAGTTGGAACTTGCCGCACTACAGTTGGAAAACATGACTTTTAGTGATGACTTTACTGTCTTTATTCACAATGACGCGTATCCTGTAGACAATAACGCTACAAAGACGTACGGAGTTACTGAGTGCAGCATTGGGGAGATTGTGGTTATGTTTTATTGCGGTACGAAAGTTTCTTATCGAGGACTTTCTGATAACACTAACTTGACTAAAACAGTTAATGGTTCATTACTTCTTCTTTTAAACATCTTTTTTTGAAAATGCTTATGTTTAAAAAATCGATGTACTTTGAAAGTGCCAAACATTTCCAGCCATAATAATGTTAACGGAATTCCATAATTGCTAAAGATAACCATATATTATGTTTGATACATTCGCTCAAACTGTAATATTGTGACACAATTTAGCATTTTGGAGAAATTTAAGTGGTAATATCTCTGACAAAGAGGGAAATTTTAGTTGACAAGTCTTTACCTCCTATATTCTATATCAGAAACACAGGCATCGGTATTACTCTTGGCTTTAGCTTCTTGGTGCAGTGTAAATAGTCTTTGAATGCATATGGGCATTAATATCACTTACAATGCCACGCATGCCCAGTTTGTTAAAAAAAAACAGAACAAAACACAAAAATAAAATGTTAAAATGAATAGTCAAGGATAAATACCCTACGCATATCCATTAATTGAAGCAATATTAATAAATATAAATTCCAAACGTTTCTAATGTTGATTTTACAGTACCCTGTCCTATTGGGACCAGTTTCAACAACGGGAAGTGCATAAAGTGTGATAAGGGCACCTACCAAAACGAGACCGGGCAAGTGAACTGCATAACCTGCCCAACTGGCCTAACCACCGAAGGATTTGGAGCATTTGACGAAGAAGATTGCTTAGGTGCGTACAGATACGTAAACGTAGACATGTTCGAAATTATGCAGCTACAGTTAGAAGGATTGACTTTTTGATTTGATTTATTAGGCTGATAAGGGTGAAATTGAGTGTGTCCGTACGTTCTTAGCTATTCGGATGCACGATCTCAAAGTAATTCCGGCATTTTGTTAGCTGGAGATTATAATGCACGTATTTGTGCATTCATTAAGGCACTAATACTACTACTACTACACTAATGAGTCACGTATCCTACCTTTGTTTAAAATATAGTCAAACACTTAAAAATGGCAGTCATAGATACTATGTCCTTATGTATCTGCTAGGCATTTTTTGTATTGAAGTTTGCACTTCAATGCACCTTATACTGTACTACAAAAGTCTTGATAGAGTTCGAAAAAATCATATTCTATACTTATATCTCATATTACACTTATCCACAGTGAGGTATGTTGAATTACCTATAAATAAAGTATATAAAAGCGGTGGGCAGGACATGCGATTCAGTTGTGTTGTAAGCAAAAACTCCGTTTTTATGTTTTGTTTGCAATAATAAAATTCATTTAAATGTTATTATATTTGAAATGCATCAATTTTATGTAAAAAATATCTAAAATTATATTTATTGTTACACGTTGTTTTCCTACCAGTGTTGGAGACGGCAGTCAGCACTGAAGAACCAGTAACGCAAGTGGTAGGAATGGGTAAGTGTATTATGTGTATTGTCAACAATGTTAGTATCAATGGCAATAACGATCGTTTTTATTATTTGTTAAAAATACATCGTTGGATCTTCGGTTCAAAGACTTTAGAATAAAATATGGCTGTCTTTAATATAATTATGTCTTCTGTGCAGTCACTATTTATCTTTTACAAAGTAAAAAGCAAACTAATTAAGAATTTGAATGTGTAACAAAAAAGGGAAGAAATATTTTAAGACCTGAAATTCAAAATCTCCGATTTCAGACTCAAAGATGATCTCTATTGCGGCCGGAACAGCTGGGGCGCTGGGTCTTATATTCCTGATTTCATTCGCTGTACTTCTCCAACGTAAATATTCTGTCTATGTATAGCAGGTCAATTTTGACATTTTGATCTTTTTTTTTTGCTGTTTTACAACACATGTAATATCTTAGTTCGTTCTTATTTGCTGTTTTACATTTTAATTCTATAAACATGATGAATAATACTTATTGGGTTCCTTTGGGGAAAAGGATATCTGAACAACAGAGCAAAAGTGTCAAATGAGTCAAGGATGGCGTCCGAGCACGAAAAGAAGTCTGCGAATTGTAAGTATAAGACAGCAATATCTTGTGATATACGATATTGCCAAATTAAAAGAATAAAAAAAATGAAGCAGTCTAAACATTAAAAATGAACATTTGCTCTTTGCAATCTGTCTATTTGTCACTATGTAAATGCCACATTAGATTAAGACATAGGAAATGTACGAATACAGCCTTTTTTTCAAATTCAGCGCTTTGCACATGTATTATATTACACTAATTTACAGGAATCTGTAATTACATTGTAAAACGCATTATTTCAACCCAGCGTAATTCCAAACAGTATTTCCATCCTGAAAGTAACAAATATTCTGCTTTTTTTTACAATAACAAACAGCCGAGCTGGAAGGAGACCATGGAAGACTGCCAACACAAATGCAAATGAAACAACGTAAGATGTACCTACCAGGAGAGGAGAATCTTAAGAGTGAATCCAAGGTATAGGTGGCTCAACAGGACGCATTATACTCTATGGGTCTATAAAGAATTCCATTTTACGTTTTACTGATTTTAATTATATGCTCTCATAAATGCACAGCATTACTATAGTTTTAGAATGCGCATCAGTTTTTCAGCACATTGTATACAGTTTTCCGGATATTTCAATGCAAAGTGGACTTTTTTACCATTAGATTAAATGTTTTAGAGGGACTAAGCACTTCTTTACTGCACAGCATCATAGCAAAGACAATTGTCAGTTGCATATTATTCAATATATAGGTAAACAGGTAGTCCTACAACTCCATATAATTAAATATAGGGAAAAGAGCTATAGAATAACATCAATTACTTTCGTCATTAAAATAATTTTAATTAAACCTACGTTTAACCTAATTAAACCTATTTTTCTGACTTCTTAGATGGCATACCTTTAGCTTTGTATAACATTTTTCTACAATTTACAACTACATAAAGTTGACATACACACTATATTTTATGTGTAACTAGGACCGTGTCTAAATACATAATTATGCAACTGGTATGTTGTACCAAATTTCTGAATTATTATGTTAAATGTCATTCGGCGTAACAAATTAGCCTGGTTATAATAAATGAATGCATTTATTGTACACACATACCCACTGGGTTAAGTAGAGTCCACAACAAAATGTTGGAATGCAGATAACGTTACGTATATACGTCGTCATGTATTTACAATTAAGTAAATTAAGGTTCTCCTCATTTCTTAATAATCGTGATAATGTACATGTAAGAACAAGTATGTTTCAATATAGAAGATTGTCCATCACATTAAACGGCCTTTTAGGCCTGACCTTTGCACATCTGATTGCAGGAGTTGTTTTAAGTAACCTAGTGAAGATGTTTCTAGATAAAAGTTCTAGATAAAATGAATTATTGAACACCTGAGACTTTTGTTATACATGTAGGCGGGTCTATGCTATATCTTGCATAAGACAATAGAATTATACAGCAGTCTGTGTGGTACGCATCAAAATACATGACTAATGATAATGGAATGTTGGATTAAAACGTTTTAATCAAATACTGCAGTGGGTTAAGACTTGACCAACATACCCCCAGCGAAGTACTCTTATAATATAACTTATAATATTATAATGACATTGAAATGGGCAAAGGTGCGGGTGGAAAGGTCATAAATATGCAATGGTGGGTGATAATTGCTCCTCTGGCTTCACATCCTATTGCTCCTCCTCTACTTTGCATTTCTTTGCGCTAATTACACACCCAGTTATCACCTACACTCTTGGAATGTTATGCATTCCCAAATTTTGCCTAATTCTGCATATCCTGTAACTAGATGAACAACATTAGAATGAATTAAAATGTACACAAAAGTTTGGAAACATACTGCGTTTGCAAGATACAAAAATTCGATGTCTGAATGTCACGCAGTGTCTGAATTTCAAACACTCTGAAACACCATACGCTGTATTTCATGCATTTGCAGAAGTATTTTTAATTAGTAAATCGGGAGAAATATTTGTCCCTTACCAAGGCATTGCTAACTGTATTTGTTAGAACACTTCAGCCGGCATGTACTGAGGAACAAGGCTTTTCTAACACATCGCCAGACAACTCAATACACATCCAACTATACTTTGATCCATTCTTTATTCATGACAAGCTCAAATCGGCCAAATTGTTTTAGCTATGAGAACAGGTAAGTTTTTGTGTGGGCGCTTTATGCCATAGCCTGTTGAAATAAATACTAATAAAATATAAGCCTGTTGGATGCTAGACTATCCTCAGGGCCAATACAATTCACCGGCGTTCCGGGAGCGTCGGCTGTTTTTTTTCCTGGTATGGTCGGGGGTTTCTGATCACATGTAGATAGCATGCGCTTACTGGCTTAGAACTGGCTGCCTTCCCTTGTACACCTTCCCTGGGACTCCAAGAAATCTAAGTGTGCTCAGAACCCCCCCCCACCCAAAAAAAAAAAAATCTATCACACCGTGATTAGGGGTAAGGATTAGGGTCTAGGCCTTTTTGACCCGGGTTCGAATCTGACCTTATGCTTCTAGCTTGATACAAGCTCTTTGGTCTATAGCCTACGTGGTGCTTTCTGCCCTCTATGCATAATCAAAGATAATTGCAGATAATTAGTTCGTGAGGGGGTGTGAAAAATAATTATCTTTTGAAGATATGCAGCTGTCAATTTGATGGATGGGCAAGTTAAACCAAGCAAACTCTGCAAAACTGAGAGTTTTAAACTTTAAAGGCTTGGCCAAACTCGTAGCTACGACTTACAAAGGTCATAGCTAGGGTGTAATGAAGGCCCAAGACCTTAGTTTATTTGAATCCCTTTCTATAGAATTGATTTCTTCGTACAATATTCAGATATTGGCTGATAAAGTGTTTGCCACCCCTAAAAAGTTGTAAAAATTAACAAACTTTTCATATTTCTCAAAACCTGACCAATATTCCAATTTTCCGGAAACCGATTCTTATAGTAGATGACTGTCCCTACATTCGGTAAAAAAATCACCGCTCCAGACCCCCCGCAGCAGTTTGGCCAGGCCGATTTTTGGAAAATCATATACATCAGAAATTTATAATTTATGGAGATACCATACGTCTATTTCCCATATCTCATACATAGTTGAAAGAAGTAGTATCTGGGTAAGGCTCCTGCAAAAATTCAAACTTTTTTGGCCGTTGGGAACTGGAGATATTTTCGTTTTTTTATTGATAGATGCTTTAATTGATTTAGACTCATTTGATCCAGTTCGGTTTGCGTAAAAGTGATAATAGTGCAAAAAAAGCCCGATAAAAAGACGCCAAAAATAACTTACGTTAAAGTCACTGTTGTTTACTTGTATTTTATTTCAACGGCCTAGTTATTTGCAGAGAGTAGAAATATTGTTTGGGGAATAAAGTTGGATTCTTGCATAGTTTTTGATGTCTTGAGCATTTTTGTAGACTCTTCTCTCACTTGATATCTACTTTATGTAATGTACAAAATTCTGGAAAAAAAACAACATTTGTTTCTCACTGCATTTTGTCGACTACGACATCTTAAAACTTGCCATACTGAAGGAAAAACATGTAATTTTACTAGTAGAATTGGACCAAGGTAAAACTACCCTAGTCTATCTAGCCTCAGAATATAATACAGAATGAATGCATTATTTCGAACATCCTCTACTAGTCCCTAGTAACACGGACGTGATGACAGGCATGGTATTTTCCGTTGTGTCGGTAGGTGTCGCTTTAGCCTTACTTAGCGACAAATCCAGTGGCACCTCCTGATACAATACTGGTGGCAATAACGCCATCGGTACCCACACCGAACAGAAACCGACGTTATAAGTGGTAGTTCCTCCATTCGATTGTCGATCGGAAGCAGGCGACAGTTCTTTTGACCATTCCATGTTATTATGACAGGTGGCGGTGGTCTCTGTTGAAGTATGTTCTGGTACAGAGCAGTTGTCGCTGTTTCCACCTCCGATGAAAACCCGCCGCCTCTTCTTTAGGGGAACAACGAGGTCAACGGCTTCTTTTTCAACAGATGTGGCCTGGCAGCCGGTGCTTGTGGGTTTGTCAGCCAGTGGCGATACGGGTGGAGATTTCCGCTTGCCGTATATCCGTAGTTCCTGTGGCGGTGTGGGCAGCTCATCGCCCTGGTGCCTTTCGTCTGACTTCACGTTGACAGAGCTACAGTTCTGGCCACCATCTTAGACCTGTGATGCGAAATCACCAATCCCTGAAGAGAGTTTTGGTGGGTGGTCTGTCAGTCCTGGCATGACGGTCTCGCGAGATTTAGGGGTGTTGGTCTCGCGAGATTTGGCGATTTGTACGTGTCCCATCATCACGTGACGGTAGAGGTCTAGAGAGTTTGGGTCCGAATAGTCGCACAGGAAACAACAGTGGCCTAAAACACGTCTGTCGTAGTGTCCTACCAGCCGACAAACTTCGCATGACCTCGAGCAGGTGTCCGTTCCATTGTCAAAAGAGGCCTCGTCACCGCCGTGGCACGTATCAGGATGGATGTGCCGCCTAGCAATGTGTTGGTGAAGTGCAGGTTTGCTGGCTGCTGAGACACCGCAAGCTGGACAGTGCCTGGTGCCGAGGTGCAACTGGAGGTGATACGACAGCACTGCGGGACCAGACCACGTCACGAAGGAACAAAATGGGCAGTAGTTGGCCGCTACTATCGTACCCAGTTCCTGGCTTTCACGCCTACGCCTGAAACAAATAATAATTCAAGTTAGGTTTGACTGGATTGACTAGCAGGTGCATAATGATAATGATAAGAGGCAGTCAGATATTGTAATAAAGATGTTCTTTAACCCTTAAACACGCGAACATTTTTTGTGACGTTATTGCCCGAACGGGGTCCAAATGGACCCCATTTGGTTTCTTTTAAATTTACATTCCTTTTTGCATTTTTTCAGTGATCTTTGCATAAATATTGGTTAAACACAGTAAGTTGTGTATTTTAGCACGATTAAGTTTTGAAAAATTCCAGCTCATTATCATAATTTATGCACAAATAGGATGAGGCCTGTAGGCATGAACATGGGATTGACCTTTGACCTCATATGATTGTCAAGTTGTCAAACCTCTGAAAACATGATAAAAGAATTCCTGAGGTTGAGGTTACTTGGCAAACTGCATAATACCAATAATGCTTCCTTGAAGACATATTCAGGATATCCGAACAATTTCGTGTGTAGGAAAGTGCAAATATGGCTCTCCGTTTGGACCCTAGACGGTCTTACATCAGACTTTCAGTTGTTATTTTACAAATTTGTGCCGCTCCTCCCCCCCCCCCCCCAAAAAAAAAAACTTGGAGAACTTCTAGAAGAGATTTATTGACAAGGTCAGGGGAAATTTTTTTTTAAATTAAAAAGAAATCAAATAGCACATAAATATATACGTCTGGGGTCCAAATGGACCTCGTTCGGGTGTTTGAGGGGTAAACAAGCTCCACCTCGGCATACCGTAGACTTACTTTCCTGTATACGATCTATAAGAACTAAAAGAGATCAAAAGAGGTGTTTCTGTTCAAGCCACATAGGGGTCGGATTAATATTGATGTTCTTTAAATCACTTATGCTGTGTTCGACCTGTTTCTAGGACCACCTTACATAACGTGTTTGGGAGACAAGGTTGTTGATCAATGGTGTGTGTGTGTGTGTGTGTGTGAGAGAGAGAGAGAGTGTGTGTGCCCATATGTAAGAAATAAAAAGAAATATTAAATTGAATATGTTTGAAAAAAACAAACTTTTGAACACCAGTACGATGTTTTCTTAACTCACCGTTGAATTAACAAAGCATTTTGTTAGCTTTCCAAGCAAGGCGTTATCCATCAAACACGACACAACCCATCCCATTTACAGTAACTATTATAATAGTAACAATTAATTATCCTTGAAAAGAAAAGATTGTATTGGTACAGTAAACATATTCGTATTTCTTCAAAATAAAAAAAATGCATGGCTATAAAATATGTATTCATTATTATGAATTAATAGACTATTTTCAGATCTAAATTATAGCTGCTAGGTTTGGAAATGATCCATATTTTTACATACACCGTTTTTCTATTCCCGTAATACATAGCGCAATGAGGTTAAATTCCCAGGTTGCATAGCGCTAACAGGTCGAGATTATAAGATCCTGTGTTGTTTTCATATTCGTTATTACTGAATCTAAAATAATGCAGACGGCACCTTAAATATATTTATATGCTAAAATATCAGTTAAATTTTTTCGAGCAATAGTTATATCTCCTTTTGAATCCTTACACTATACAGGATAACATTGTATACCACACATTACATGTTTTCTATAGAAAAAAAAACACTAAATTTTAAACAGCGAATTCTCAGATTGATGGAAACACACAGAAAAACAAGACAGTTGTACGTAAACATGTCGCATATCACATGTATCGCCATCACCCTGTCGATTTGCATCATGGGAATGGCAAAAGCGAATGGCACTACTTGTACTTGTAATGCAGGGTAAAAACAGTAAGCTTCTATTATTGGTTCCGTAGGTCGGCATTTTGACCAATTTTCATATAAAGTTTCCCCAATAATAGTTGAAAAGTTTGAATACTGCCACAGTATTTGTTATCTGTACTAACCGTTTTCTATGTTGCGTGCTGTTGTTAGTACCAGAAATTAAACGTTGAAATATTATTCTTGAAATTTTAGCACCTCAGCCGAGAATATGATGTGTACTGAAACGTTTGGTTTTTGTTAAATTCAATTATTATTTACTATTGTTTTTTATTTTTTTATTTGCTTTTGCTTGTTTTTTGCTTTTAATTTTTTTTTCTAAAGACACAAAATTGGTGTATATCGTTGAATTTTACTGGCTAACGGCTTCAAGGCCCGTTTCAAAAATGCAATACAAATCGCACCTCTATTTCCAATTCATTCTATAATCATAAGATTTTGGCATTATCTGTTCTAGCTGAGTCGTGGACGAAAATTGAGCGAAAGGAATATTGTCATTTCTAGGTTGGCGGTGCTCTATCTAGTTCTGTGCATGTGATGTTACAATAACTGACCTGACGGCAGATCTAGGTCTGCCCCGTACATCGGGTTCAGCGGCAGCTTGACGAGGTCTTCCTCCCGTAGCCTGTGCCGGTACACGCCTGCCGATCTCCCGTCTCTCTGTTTGGGGAGGAGCAGCGTCACCGATGGTTCGTCTGGAGCCTGTTCGGGGGGACGAGGCGGTAGTCCCAGGGTCTCCTCGGTGTGACGAGACGGTACCTGGAATGGACAGTTTATTCATTTACATTAATTTGATTGAAGTGCAATACAAGGACAAAATGGGACTCCAAACTTTTTTTTCATTTACATTAATTTGATTGAAGAAACAATACAAGGACAAAATGGGACTGCATTCAAGTTATACAATATTACAATTCTAACAGTCCCATGAATTGATTTCACAGCCAAACAAAAGTTTATTTACATCAGAGAACAAGAAAAGCATTTACTGCCAGTCGTTATGGTCACAATTGGGAAATATTTACATTGTTTAAAGGTGATACAACTTGACAATTCATTAGGTTTACAATCATTAAGCTAAATAACTACAACAATGAAACATAAAAAAACAACCCTTATTCTATATTTATCTATCTATCTATCTATCTATCTATCTATCTATCTATCTATCTATCTATACATCTATCTATCTATCTATCTATATATACATCTATCTAAGCTCTCTAATAGACAGAAAGAAAGATAAGTACATCCACAGTAATAGATAGATATTAGATAGATATTTGGCCCTTCTCGTCTTGCCAGACGATCTACAGCTATATCTTTCTACTAGATAAATAGATAGATATACTATATACAGGGATAGATAGATAGATAGATAGATAGATAGATAGATAGATAGATAGATAGATAGATAGATAGATAGATAGATAGATAGATAGATAGATAGATAGATAGATAGATAGATAGATAGATAGATAGATAGATAGATAGATAAATAGTAAGAAAACCAACCTCCCAGATCCTTCTCCCACCTCTCTGTCTAGATCGGCGAGACGGTCCCGGACTTCCTTCGGTAGGAAGAGATGCTTCGCCGGGAGCCTGTTCTAGGGAACGTGACGGTACCCCGAGAGTCTGATCGGGTGGACGTGACGGCTCCTTCCGCGTCTTTCTTTCACCTCCCCGTCTAGTGCGGTGAGTCGGATCCCCCGGTTTTTGCCCGGAGGGACGAGAAGGTAGTCCCTGAATCTGTTTAGGTCGACAGGACGGATCCGTCCAGGTCTGTTTGGGGCGGCAGGACGGATTTCTCCGGTTCTGTTTTGGGGGAAGAGGAGGGGGCACCTCCGAGTCATGACCGTCGGAATCCCCCTGGAGGACTGACAGTTCTATTTCTTCCCTCTCCGGACGTGTTGTCTCCATCACTTCGACTATCTGTTCGTTAGCTGTTAGATCTGCCGTAGTTCGCCTGCCGCATTTCAGCACTTTCGTTGCCACGTAATCTAGTGCTGATGGCTTTCCTAGCTCTGTTCTAAACGGGTCTCTCATGAATAATAGCTACTTCTCTTATTGTCTAGAAATCGGATGTTTTAGTTTACATGCATAAACAACACTGGCGCGTTACCACGTATTATCATATAGCCGGGTGGCGTAGACCAATCAGAGGCCTCCGTTACCCGTGCTTTATTCTCCGATAAACCATGGCTCAGCCGTGCGTTATTATCCATAAACCATGGGTGAAACCATAATGATATAGGGGTACACAGCTCTTTCTGTTAATATTCATAGCAGTTTCCTGGTCAGACAAAATTATGTTTTTTTTTAAGCTTCATATAAACTAAAATGTGTGTGAGTATGAAATGTATATGTAAATAGATAGAATTTGAACGGGAGAGCAAAAACCATACTTATTTTGACACCCCTACAAAAAGTGGTATCGCCCACATCACCTGACTGAATCAGACCAAGGATCAGACGATTTTATTTTTTTGGTCCGCCATCTTGCCTTCTTGTGTCATGGAGAGTTTGCCTAATTTCTACATGGAAGAGATAACAGACGCGGATTTAGATGAGATATTTGGACCCATGGAGGTCGAGGAACAGACGCTGGAAGCTACACCAGAGACAGAGGTCAGCAGGGTGCGTTTCGCGTGTCTGAACGAACAACAACTTGGCGAGATAGAGGAGGGGCGAGTTGAAAAAACTACTGAAAGGGCAACCAAGTGGGGAGTGAAGCTTTTGAAAGGTGGGTGTGTTCTTTTTTCAAGTGATTAGCAGGAATAGAATTACATTTGTTTTGCTAATGTTATTGTTACTGTAATATCGACAGGCTGCCAAATTTATAACAGCCCTGTACTGAACTGGAATTTTACAGCAAATTCTCTGATTTAGAATATAATGTTGATAAGTGTGCCAATATGTTATTGGTAGCTGGAGTCTCGGAGAAGTCAGTATTATTATCAACATCCTGTGGGTGTAGTGGAAAATGAATAAACAAGACTTTTGTTTTTAATATTATGATTTTAGAATGGCTGACAGCAAGAGACTTGGATACAGACTTTGAGGAGCTTCCTCCAGAAAACTTGGCACCACTGCTCAGGTCCTTCTACGCAGAGGTTCGCAAAGATAACGGCACACCGTATGACAAAAGCTAGTTATGGATGTCTAAGAGCTGCCATACACTGTCATCTCACAGGACCCCCTTTCCATCGCAAATACAACATCCTGAAGGACACCGAATTCAAGGCAGCAAATAACGTGTACACAGGAATGTTAAAGAAGCTAAGAAGAGAGGGCAAGGAC